AACGGGCGGCGGGGGGGACCCGGCCGATCGGCCGAGCGATGGATGAGGGCCGGGGCCCGCCTGCGAGAAGGGGGCGGCTGCTGCTGCCGCAGAGGATTGTGGGAAAGGGAGAGGGCGGCCGGCGGTGGGCTGAGGGGGCGCCCGCTGCGCGGCGGGAGGGCGGCTCCCCGTCTCCAGCCCCGTCCGAGCGAGAAGCGGCAGTTTGGGACGCCTGCGCGGCTGCAGGCGGCTTTTCCTCCTGGAGCCGGCGCCCAGCTGGGTTTCCTCAGGTGGAGGGGCCCTGTGGAGGGCTGGGACCCGCCGAGCACCATCCTGTGAGGCGGGGACGGGGCGCTCCCGCGGGCGGCCTTTAAAAGCACCGTTGTTCTGTTCGCTGCTGACCTTTCATAGGTTAAGTATACCATTAAACCGTTCCTAATCGTAGCCGATTCACTTTTCGTAAAGTCACGCACGATTACCGTGGAAAAAAAAAAAACGTTCAGGTGACATGCTTTGCTTAATCTGCCATTTACCCAGATGTTAAGTAGAGGCAGGTACGAAGAATACCTGTAGAAATTAAAATGTTAACAGTATTCCTACAGTCATAAATACTGGAGCTGTTCTCTGCAACAAAGAGCAAGTGGCAACTTACCAAACACACGTGAAACAAACTTGACGTAAACGATGATTGCCTGCAGGAAAGGTGTGTGTTATTCTCACAGCAGATATTTACAACCTATTACCATGTGATTTAAAAGACCCGGTGAGAATTCCTCTAGGCACTTTTAACTTTGTTGTCTATTTTTTTCTTTTTAAGAGTAAAAAAAAAAAAAGGTTAATATGTAGCTGTTACTGTTGATACTAATTATTGTTTGTAGAAAACTGATTACTGGGAAAAAAAAATGAAGTGGCATTTTTGCTTTTGAGAAGCATTCTTGTCATAGTTCAACAGTTTTGTCACACTGACTTCAGAGATAAAATTTAACCCCTTATACTTGGCCTTAATAGTCAGTTGACAAATACATACGAAGCCTTGATACAGTTGCCTCCTCTTTGTGTTTCCAGAATAAATTAAAAATGCTGTAAAAGTTCCCTCACTGTCCGGACTATGAAATATTTTCCTGTATCATGTAACAGACAAGCAAAGGCAAATTAAGCAAGCAACTAGGAGGAAAAAAAAAAACCAAAACAAACAACCAATGCTTGATATTTTATTAAAAAAACCCAAAGCAACAAACTACCATTAACTGTAAGTATGACCTTTTAGGGCTAAATTACATTCACTAAATATAAGCATCTATGGATACTAAGCTATTCATAAACATTCTTATGAATTATTTAGCTGTCTTTGGCAGAGCAATAATAATCTATAAGCATTTTGTGTCTTCTTCCTTGAACAAATAAAAATGCACTTACAAGCCATCTTGGATTAACGCGGAGAGCTTTTTAGCCAAAGTGGTGACAGTGTTACAAAACACATGGAACTAGGCATCTGCTTAGTAAAGGATAGTCTACAGAAATGCTGTCCTACATACAGAGGCTGAAGGACAAAAACTATCTTCAAGTATTCTAATTGAATTTTGTTTTTAACAACAATATAACAAATACATATAACTAAAACTAGCAAATGTGACAGTAATACCAAAGACTGGACAGAAGAAAAAGCTTTTTTTCAAGTTCTGGTCCTACCATCTACTCTTTAGAATATATGTATATATTTTTTACCAAAAAAAAAAAAAATCAGTTTTGGCTGCCAACAGCTTTTTCTTACTCATATTAGAGTATACTAGTCAGGCAGCTTTATGGCAAGAGAAAAATTACAGATGTGGGAAGGCAGCACTAGAGGGTTTGGAAAGAACTTTTGAAACCTTAAAGCCAGGGATCAAACTGAAGTTTAACTGCTGCATGAGAACACAAGCTAGAATAAGACCTTTGGAATAACTGAACTAAAATTTGTGCATCTTTAAGTGTTTCTACCATGTATTAAAATTAACTAGTTTCTCACCAATGCAGTGGAAAAAATGAACATATCGGTAGTTTTACTGTTTTTATAAATATGGGTGCTGGAGTCATGTGAATACAGGCAATAAAATGGCACATACCTGTTGTATTACTAGAGAGCATAAAATGACGCCCTAGCTTTTCCTGGAAAGAAAAGTGTTGTAAACAAGGTTTTTGGTAGGGAATTTTAGTACAATTTTAGCTTTTACATGCTTTTCTCTTGTCTGGCTTGGTACACATATCTTCTTCTTCACCTGCACTGTTATCTGAAAACCAGGAATATAAAATAACTCGGCTTTTTACATTCTGTAGTAATAAGCTATTTTGTCTTTGGATGTTCCTCTAATCCTGTGGAGCAGTATTGCATTTTTCTTCACCTCTGTATGGAATGACACACCACAGCATTACACCAAAAAATTACTGGAAATATCAACCCTCATAGGGACAACATGGCAACCCTCCACCATGCTTAAAAATGATGATTCTTTTATTATTAAAAAAAAAAAAAGAAAATAATGTTTTTTTTGCATGAAGGAAGAGACTTGTTAGGACCTAGGCTTTATAGATATATTTTTTTCCATTTTTTTAACCAATGTCTGCTGAGCCCTTATGTAGATGAGAATTACATAAATGACCTCTTGCAAAGTGTTCAAAATGCCAACATTGGTCAGTCCTCCAGGTTCATAAATAGAAACAGCGAAAATGTGGATCTCTGAAGTAAACTTTGTGCCTTTAGTTTTGAAATGTAACTTGTAAGAATGCCATTAGGGAAAAAAAAAAGGAGACAATGATTATTGTGAAAACTTATAAGAAACACATTTCAGTGGAAAGTATGTCTGTCTTCAGGAACAACAAATATTTGAGGATCTTACAATGAGAGTACAATTTATGCATTCAGTGAAACTGAAGCCCAATCGGGTGATACCAGGGATCAGACATGTATGGTTTTGTTCCAAACAACAGAAGCTCTGTATACCGAACAGGTATGGTAGCATCTTCTGACTCTTCTTTGTGGTATATATTAGATAATTTGAAGCAGGCAGAAAATATTTGTGTTATATTCTAGATAATCTGAAGCAGGTTGAGACAGCTGGATAAAATCAAACACAGAAGTAGTGAGTATTCCATCATGAGAATTTACCAAGATGAAACTTCATGTAAACTGTGTTTCCATTAATAATTCCAAAGTGCTTAGGAAAAAACTCCTGAGTGAACATTCTCAGATTTCGATTCAGTACAGATTTCTATTGAATAGTTAAACACCTGTAGAGAGAAGCATCATACTGAAATAGTGCTGTTGGGTAAAATAAGCTATAGTATTAAATACTGTTCTTCAGGAGGATTAACTGTTACTGAACATGGTCAAGAAGCAACAACTAAAATTGCTTTCAAGATATGTTTTCCTGTGTGAAATCCAAAGAAGTCAGGGAAACTTAGATTTTCTTTTTCACCATATAAACTGAATTTTGCCAGTTTTTCTCATCCTCAAAACCCAGGATGTATAAATAAGATCTTTCAGAAGTTATTCTGAAGAATAGTGCCGGTACTTACTGGAAAAAAAGGATCGTGGCAAACTGATGTGATGCAAGGTAAAGATAAACATAGGATGACACTACTTTGACTCCAATGGAAGCTACTGAGTTTGAGAAAGCAAAAAAGGAATCCAGTAAAAAGGAGGAACACGCATATGGCTAAGAATGCGTATAAAGGAATACTGCAAACAAAAAATTAAAATTCTAAGAAGGCAACAGAACTACAAAGCAGGATACGAAAAGAATAAATATTATCTCAATGAGATAAATATAATCAGCTCTGTAGATGATACAATTCACTATTGGATACTTAAGGAAAAGCCAGAGTAATCTCTGTGCCATAAGCGAGTATCTGCAAGAGTTCCTGATGCATTGAAGACTGCTATCGTAAGTATTAAAACCAGGAAATACGTGAATTGACAATCTGAAAATTCTTGAGCAAATTTGTCAGCACCAAAAAGATTAGAATAAACAAATAACTTGTGTTTATCCAGAACATTTTATGAAAAAACTTTATAATAGACTGACCCTAATTTATCCCCTAGCAGCAGAGTTTATATCTTGATTTTAATTTAACAGCTCTTTTGTCCCTATTATAGTAATGGATATGCTAATTTCATACCACCCAGTTTCTTCATCAAAATACTGTGTGGGGCCAGGTCAGTTATCTGCAGAAGTTCAGAAGAAGAAGTCAGCAGTAACCTCTGTAACAGAACTTTCTATTGATGTTACAGGTAAATGCTGTCAAATTAATGCTACAAGATCTTGCTTCTGTTTTCCTGTTTGACTGGCACAGTATCACCCACCTTTAGTTCTGATTAATCAAACTTCCATATCAACTATTGAATTACCTGCCCAGGATCAATGCTGGGCTGTCAGGCCTACAGTTATGTGTTTGTCATCCTAAATGCTACTACAAGATCAATTTTTTTTTCTGATGTGCTTCTCCAGTGTATTAATACTGACTGTACAGGGTACTCCTCTACAAATTCTGTATCCAGCTCATTTGCAGAACACACACCGAGACATAAAGGAGAGCAGAATAAGATGCAGCATATGGTAAAGTGTCGTTGGCAAACGTCAAGTTAATTCCATCACTTTTATTTTTTCTCATTTTGAATTTTCATTTTGGTTTGTTGTATTCTGCTTGAGATACTGTGAAGCCAGATAGGGAAGTAAAATGGAGCAATGGAGTCCAAGACTGAGAAAAAAGGGCTTGAAAAAATGAGAAAATATTAATAGTAATAGAGGAGCCAACATACAATATGGCCATTTGTACTAGGTGTTGCTGAAACTCGGGAGTGAGGAGTTCACAAGAAAGTCTATGTAAGCAAACTCATTAGAAGAGGAATACAATAAATGCAAAGAATCACCCCCACTTACTGGTGTTTGATACTACTGGTATCCAAAGGGGTCACAGAGTCATACTTGATACCCCCAGTTTAAGGTAACAAGTTTTTATAGGGTCTTATGCTGCCCTTCAGTCCCCTCACTGTTACAGCCTGTAGGTGTTTTGAGTTCTCTAGAAGTAAAGACCCAAAGTAAGTAAACTGTCATTTCAAAGCTTGGATTACCATATAGTTGTAAATCGTTGATTTTGTTACTCCTTTTTGTATCATTTGGTAGTTCTGAATTTTCATCTGGACTAACCGGTGGAGAACACACAGTGTCAATGGTAAGGAGGGAGTAAAGAGCAACGTGAGTCTATGGCCAGAAATTGTTTTTGCTTAGAGTGGCACATTGTGTCTGATTGCAGGCATGGAGGGAATTTGGAAAGACGATACGACAGAACACCACATTGAGTTGTCAAGATATGGATTCTTTCTCCAATTCTGCGCTGCAGCACTGAGCAAGCAACTTTTCCTTTTGTACTGTTGCATTTCTGACTTTGCATTTCTCTGCGTAATTGAGGTAAGGTTGCTTTCCCTTCTTAAGGAAATGAAGCTTATGCATCTTTCCTTTTGTCCATTTGTATGTGTCTTCATAATTTTTCAGCCTATTGGCTAAATTCATTCTCCCCTCTTCCCTGCCTGCAAATACTAGCCTCATAAAGTCCTACAAATTTAGTGAAAACTGGCAGCTGAAGAGAGGAGAAAGAACCCTCCTTCCCACCGAGTGAAAGGTTAGCTATTTAAAGCCAAAAGAAAAAAAAAAAAAACAACTGGTAAATGCTGAGTTTAATCAGCGACTGTGTACTAGCAAACTGATTAGCACGCAGCTAAGGACAAGCAACAGCCACCCCTTATGAAACTGGTGGTTACATTAAAATTATTGAAAAGATGAAGGAATGGGAAGAGGAATGATGAGGGCACCAGGTGCTACTGTGACAAAGGGATACAGGACACAAGCCTGTAGAAAATCAGCTTTTCTCGTTGCATGGATCAGGGCTTGTGTAATCCCAAGATCGTGGGTGCCACCCGAGGTACCCCTGTGTATGAAGCAGCTGACAGCAGAGCCCGCTTTATCTGAGGTTGTGCGAGCAAAGCTTCATGAAACACCTGTTGTGACCAAGGAGTGGAGCGACGGGCCTCTGGCTCCTCCGAGCCATTGATCAGCCGGCCCTTTAATAATGTCCCTCTACAAAGAAAAATACGAAGCTTGTTACTGGCGGGTGTAACAGGTAGAAGCCATTCAACCGCACGCACGACTGCGGAGAACGGGGAGATGGTGCGGTTTGCCCCCGAGGGAGCACACACGAGCGCCTTCGCGGTCCCTAGCGCCTTGGCAAGCGGGTTCCGCTTCGTGCCACCCACCGAGCGCCCGTTTCCTTCTTACGGCCCCCTGATGCCCACCCCGTTCCTGCGAGGCCAAGCAGCGGTGGCCGTTACGGGCGGGCCGTTGGGCTGGCTGCCCCCAGGCGAACCG